CTCTGTACCCTTTACGCCTAGCTCAGTGTTTGCAACATAGTCTGGACTCAGGGTATTTGAACTAAACTGAGGAGTCGCAGTTTCATTCTAAAAAGGTTATTGTTAAAATGCCAGCAAATTGCTAAAAGTAAATTGCCTGTCCTAAAATGACAGTATAGAAAACATCTGGGCATGATTTTGCTGGCAAGAAAGATAGTTAATTTGACCCATGAGCATGAAAAAAAAAAAAAGACAAAACTGGCCTTGCATGCTATTAAAAGCTTGGAGAATACTGCCATCTAGTGATAGAATTCAGAGATGCTGGCAAATGAACTGCAGTCTTGGAGACTTAGAGAAAAATCACTGAGACTGCATTTATACACGGAAAGACCAGTGAATAATTTCTCTAAATAAAGTAGATGTATAACTATGTTTCTACCCAACATACCTTGTTAAAGGAGGCTAGTAAATATTTGAGTGTTTCACTTGTTCGTCACGTAACCTTATTAATTTGGCTATATGCTGATGGGTGGGTAGGTGGGTACTCCCGGACACAGGAAGTCACTGACTTACAGACAAGTTCCTCTCTGGAAGAATGCTTATAAGTCAGATTCGTTCATAAGTCCAACGAAGTGATTCTTATACACCTTTGACACAAATATACACTGTAAAACATGAAAAACCAAATGCAAGATCTGTTTATATTTGTGAGAGTTTGCAACTCGCATGTTTGTAAGTCGAGGACTTTTTATAGTCCAGATGAGACCTATTTGTTTCTATCATCACATTAATTGTCCCATTATTATCTTATTTTTTTCAGATGGAAGGAGTAGTTTGTACAGATCTACTTTCAAGCATAATACAGTCTAAGTGGGCACAAGAAACAAGAAATAAGACATGACTAAATTTGACTCAACTCATTTTGTGTGTGTGTGTGTGTGTTTGTGTGCATGTGCACTAAACAAACATATCCAATTGCATCATTTGCATGCCTAAATCTCAGTGATCTTGACTTTATGTATAATTTCTCATGGAGCCTCCAAAGAGTTTTGGAGTGCTATCACCTTCGAATCAACCTAATCCTGTTCTAACACTAAAGGAAGCATTGTATTTCACTACCACATTACTAGTAGCTAAATGTGTACTGCAATTGGAGTAAAACATATTTGGGTTTGAACTGCTGTTCTATCACTTGCTAAGTGTGTGATCTTGGGCAAGCTACTTAGCTTCTCTTTGCTTCTTCATCTTTAAAATAAAAATGAAAATAATATCCATTTCATTTAGGTTTTGTGATGATTCACTGAGTTACACATATAAAGCACTCAAAACAGCACAGTGCACTTTAGTAAACATTCACATTTTTAACAAATATTTTCCTACTCTGCCTTTACCACACTGAAATAAAACAAGAAAACTCATATACAGTATATCTACTACATGCATAATTTTATGTATTTGTGTATGTGCATATGTATGCAAATATATGAGGGGCCAACTCTAATGGAAGGGAGAAATAAAAGGCAATTTTTAAAATATATTATGAATTTTCAGACATCCAGGCCACTCCGTACTAAAAGACCTGAGTATATAGGCAGAAACTTACACCAATATATAGGAACATCGTGAACGCAAACATAACAAATGCAAACACAGACTGGGCATGGTATTCCTGACTCAATTACTGTGAGTGTTGCTGTAATATAATCCTTTTTTGCTCCTGTACTGTTTGCCTTATTAATTTTTTATTTTACAGAGAATAAAAGAGCAGTTAAAAAAGATACAGAATTTCAAAACAAGATGGAAGGAATGTTTTAAAAAATTAAACAACTCTTAGGAGAGTTATGAACAAAATAAAGCACAAATTTCCTTCAATTTACATAGTAGTTTTATTACAGGAAATTTCAGCAAATATTAAAGCAGTACAAAAAATATTGAGCATTTATGTGTAAAGCATTTTTATTCTAGGTGCAGACAAGCATTAGGAGATACTTTAAACTACACGGATAATGGGTGCAGGGTGGCATCTAAATTGGACAGAATACAGGGTATTCTTCATTGTGTGGGACTGTCCAGCATGTTGGGGATATTCACCATACAGCCCTCTTGTCCACTAGGTGCTCCTTTTACCTTGTGGAATCAGTCACTGCATATATACTCATATGCACTCAGAAATACTGAATTAAACAGATGCCGACCAAGCCTTGAGAAAGAAACTGAGTTATGGCCCTCATATTCACTTCAGGGCTAGCCTGGAAAATAAATACAAAGACAGAGACCTGAGCAATAGGTGAGATATTGACAAGGGCCTTAAATCTTAAACTCATCATGTTTTGAGTCTGGTATGGCAGTCAGAGAATAAAGTGAGAGAACTGAGGGATGAAGGCGAGGGCAGTGTCCACATACTGCAAGATTGGAGAAAGGCTTGGAGTCATGGCCAAGTAGTTGGCCAGCATCAGGGGCCAAGACAAATTTAAGACTCTGGAAAAGCAGCAAATCAGGAATCAAGGAGGCAGACAACAACCAGGATTAAAACAGAAGACAGAGCAAGGAAACACAGGCAACGAGCCTTCCAACAAGCTGGTGGCATGGATGAACTTGTGCCAGCCAAACCTGGGTTGAAACCTTGGCTCCAGTACTGTCTGTGGGATTTTGGGAAAGTTCCTGAGAGTCTCATGTTTCTCTCACATGTAAGGAGAGAATACTCATAGTGCCTACCTCCTCCCTGCAATGGATGTTGTGTAAATGACATTGACTACTAAATGTAAAGTACTTTCACACCGTACATGTGTCATGGAGGCTAGTGGTGATGATTACTGCCTTCCTTACCACTCTGGTTTTCCCTATAGGCCTGCACCTCAGTGACAGGCATTACTGTCCACATGTGCAGTGACACAAGCCAGAAGCCTAGAGATGGTATTTGTCTTCTTCTTCCTCATGTCTCACAATCCTGCCAAAATTTCCTTTGCATTTCTCTTGTATCTATTGCCTCCCCTTCATCCCCACTGCCAGTGCTTCTGAGTTGGCTCTTCATTGTCTCTCCTCTGTGTTTAGATCCTCTTTGTGGAGGTTGGCTGCATATGAGGGGAGGACCACTTTTCCTGGGACTCTCCTTGTTTGAAGTCTTGGTGGCTGGGACCGGAAGGTGGACCACATACACACACAAGAACAAATGAAATGCAAAGGATGGAGAAAGGACTAGGAGTTAAAAAGGTTTTTATCAAAGGTATCACATGCCAAATAAGCTACAGCATAGCAACCAAACCCACGTATTATAGAGCCAGTTTGTAATCTGAGCTCTAATTTTGCCACTTACCAGCTGTTTGATCAAGGGCAAATTACTTTACCTCTTTGTGCCAGTTAATTCTGATCGCCAGCTTGACTGGATTGAGACTCCTAGACATGAGACTGGATTATTAGGATGTTAACCTCATCAATAAGTTAATCCATTAATGTGTTCACAGCTGATTGGATTATTAGAAGGTAGAGTTTAGTTAGAAGAAATGGGTCATGGAGGTGTGACCTTGGGTGCTGTATCTACTCCCTGGCCCCTTCCTTTCTGATCTACTTCCTCTTTGTTCTGTTTCCAGCTACCATGCTCCACCATGCCCTTCTGCCATGATGTTCCTGCTTTGGAGCCAGCCAAGCATGGACTGAAATCTCAGAAACAATGAAACAAAGTAAACCTCTCCTCCTCTAATGTGTTCAGTATATTGTACCAGCAATAGGAAAGCTGACCAATACACTATTTCTATGAAATGAAAGTTGTTCCTCAGGCAGAGTTATATCATACTGTTTGACATTCACTTTGAGGTTGCCCCAGTTGTTGTTTTTAGTTCTGGATCTTCAGTTTAGTGTCATTTTCCACATTTAAATGAGTTTCATTAACATTCTTGTTTAGCGCAATGATTCTTGTGTCTGGTAACTTCTATTAATGTACTTCCGTTTCTTGGCTGAAAAATATTAACCACTTGATGTTTACAAATCAGAGTGGAGGAGGAGGTTTTGGGAATGCGAATGTGGGTAAAGGAATGGTACAGTTTATCTCAGAGCTCAAATCCTACTATTCAAGTCCTGCTTTTGCTACTGATTTTAGATGAGTTTAACACTGAATCTGTTTTTGCATCTGCAAAGGTAATCCAATATTAAACGTACCTATAGTACAAATTTGTTGTGAGGGTTATATGAGAATTTGTCTGTGAAATTAGTTTCTAAACTATAAGACAACAGAAATGTACATAATTATTCCAATGTGACCAAGGTTGAAATAAATCCTAAAAATAGAAATAGGAAGGTGGACAAGGTACTTTTTCCAACAATGACATAATTAGTGGGTATCCACTTTTCATAGTACATTTGTGTCTTCATTTTGAAATGAATAATGTTGTGGTTGCACCAAGACAGCCATACTTTTAAAAGAAAAAAAAGAGGAAAGAGCACTTTTTATTTTTAAAAATTTTTGCAAGTTTTAAAAATTTTCTTAGTACATGTTTGCAGTATCTAAAGTTTACGCTCATCTTGAGGGAAAGGTGCATGTACAAAACACAGCTTGTTTCCTTTTAAATTCCCTTCCTCTTCCCACTCACCTCCTCCTCCCTCTCTAAACCCCGTTTCCCCATTTTCATTTTTATTGTTATTATTCCTAGTTCATGTTTATCACATGTATTTACATTCACTGTGTTTAATAGGTTCCTGTGCATGATATGTCTTCATCCTTATTACTTCCTTTTTCCCTCCCTTTCTTCCCTTTCCCCTCTTCTCTTAAGCTGTTTGCGGTGTGTGTTTCTACTGTATTTCATCTTGGGAATTCCAAATTCCTTCAGTGTCTGCTAATTCTCTTCTCAAAAGATTTAACACAATAACCAGGAGGGCAGTTAGTAAGTGCAGCCTGGTCACCCGGGAGCAAGGTTCTATGTCACTGATTGTGTCACAGTGCCTCTAGCTGGGCATACAATTATGACGTCCTCCGCTGTCTCCTCTATATAAAGCGCGGCTCCTCAGCTTAGTCCCAGTCGCACCAACAACTGAGGGACACCCACTATACCAGCCTGTGCCTTCCGCATGCTGCGTAACTAAGCAGCCCCTGCTTTCCAACTACAATCTCAGAACCTCAGTCCTAACAAAAAAGAGAGACTGAAGAGGAACCATGATCATCACTTTGCTCCTGCTGAGTGGAATTTTGTGTTTCTTCATATCTATGCTCTGGAAAAATCTGTTTGCGGCAAAGGTAAGTGAGATTGGAATTATGTGAAGTTATTTGAATAGGCAGATTGGGGAGTGAGTTTGTAGGATAATAGAAAGATAGTGAAGTAAAAATATGACCTTATCTTTTTCTGTTGAAAAAGCTCCAGACTTTAGTTACTTTCCCCCTTATGTCTTCCTTTTGATCATAGATTCCAGAGTTGTGGTTTGTTGGAAAATAGTCCCAAGTCACTAAGTGATATGGACTGATTTTCATTCAATTGGACAAAAATAAATTGCAGCTGAAAGTGCCCATAGCCCACCACCACGTCCCATTTTAAGAATCTCTACCTGTTCTCTCCTCCTTTTGCTTCTCCTATTTCCCCCGCATTTCTCTTCTGTTCTCCTACCATCGTTGTGAGAGCTTTCTGGATACAATATTCACAAACATTTCAAGTCCAAACGCGGGTTTCCTGGTGTTATTTATACTTACAAGTGAAATTTTTTTAGATTAGGGTCAAAGACAGGATCGATCTGTAGACATACTACAATACCCAAGAATATAAGTAAGGGATATGACACTTTGGCATTACAAGGCAATTTTCATATATTTTTCTTAGTGTTATTCTTGGTAGAGTGTATTACTGGATCAGCTCTGTTATTCACATTCTTAATCTCTAGTTCTTAGGAAGCATCAGTTCGTCTTTCATAACCAAGCAGTTATCTGGTAGTATTTGGAAATTGCTAACCTCAACAAACTACAGATGTGTAATTTTCTTTACAGAGAAACACTGGTAAAATGTCATCAAATTTGACTGCTTTTGCTCGAACTTCTTGCTCATGTCACAGCTGTACCCAGAGTCCTTCAGTCACCAAGCTTGCTCAGGATATCATTAATAGTTTCCCAACTTCAATGAGCCTACACAAGCGAATATTGGTAAACTTCAAGGTCATGCAACACCAGCTGATTGAATTGGAACAACTTCTAACTATGAAGGACTTAAATATTGCAAGAGTTACCAAGAAATCCACTAGAAAGGTTCAAATGTACCATGAATGTAAAGGCATTCATTAAAGGCACTTTGAGTGGTCCCAATTGTCTCTATGTTTATTCCAAATGAATTATTATTTAAAAGGGAGAGGAGATGCCAAATCAGACACAAAATCCAGACATACTGATTTGCTTACTCACCTATTATTTAAAAAATTTAATGGTTGTCACTGCTATTATAAATCTTATTGGAGAAGGGATGGAAACACAAAACAGAAAGAAAACCAAGTAAAAAACAGTTAAAGGAATATAGTTGTATATGGTGATTATAATTTCAAAGGTGAAAAACTTTTATCTATTGGTTTGTATTGACTTACAGTGTAATACAACAATTGTGTCCATGTCTGCATCAGAGTAAGTGGAATTTCTATTTTGCAGAAAACTGTTTCTTGCCACTGTTGAATCTGTATAATAATTATGAGCTATCATTGTGAACCCTACAATATGCCAAGTAATCCATTAAGATCTGTGTTTTTCACATTTATGGAGATGGTGACACAAACCTATTTCTAAAACTTGTGGTCTGCTTTTGAAAAGAATTGCTTCTCCTTCATGTATCTCACCCTTCCAGCTAGATATTCTTTCATTTAAAAAGGATCCAAAATCATCCCTAAATTTTGACAGTCAACTATGGAAAATGGTAAACATTTTTCTATGTGGAGAAAAAATTTATGCCTCAAATAGCACCAAAATATAGGGGTAGAATTCATGTAATAGAACATGGATTAAAATTAAGAAATTGTATTTCTAAGTTCTAGTCATCTGTTTCAAATAATATTTTATAAAAATCCGGTATAACTAAGTAACCAATCTCTCAAAGTTCACTAACAGCATTTGGCCTACCCTCAAGGAAAACCTTCAAAATATCAAATGTGAGCTCATTTTACACATGTGAATGTATGGATGTCATGTTTATCCATACTCATGTTCCTTTCCCCCAAGTAAATTATGGGGTAAATTTTGAAAAAGTGTCTGAATCCTTTACTCCTTTATCTTCAACCAAAACCAGAGAAAAAGGAATCTGAACTGTATAAGAAAATTATTCCTCCTGTTGTTACTCACTTACCAAAAACAAAGCCAGCAGTGATGCATGTGCCTCTTAAACTTTTTCTGCATCCTAGGTTCATTTTGTTTTCTGATGAAAACCATGACCTCACCCTTAAAAATGCGTTACACATTTGTGCAAAAATGTTGCATACAATTTTAATGCTATAATTCTCTGAAGGCTAGGTTAAGAACCTTGAGTTTCTTTTTAAAAAGAGTTGTGTGACAATTAATCTTTTTTCTTTTTTTTTTGGTTTTTCTCCGGTACCGGGAACCGAACTCACGACCTTGTGCATGCCAGACAGGCGCTTTTGCCGCTGAGCTAAATCCCCAGCCCACAATTAATCTTAATTGTCAATTTTACTGTACTAAGCAACCCCTGGAGATGTGATTGGATCATAGGGGTATTATAATCAGCAGGTAAATATACCATTTAGAGGCGGGGCCCAGTTGGGGAAGATGGGTTAGGGCAGGCCTTTGGTGGGACCACTCCCCTCTCTCTGGTGCTCACTTTTCCTCTGTGCGTTGCTTCCAGGCTGCCACAAAGTGAGCAGCTTTGTTCCAACACAGTCTTCTGCCATGGTGTTTCTGCCTTGCCATTAGCTCACCACAGACTGTGACCTCTGAAGCTTTGAGCCAAATAAACCTCTCCTCTTTTAAGTTTTGGGTGTCAGAGTTTGTGTTCCAGCAACAACGAAGATGATTAGTACATTTTCTGTGCTTCAGTTTTCTCAGAGGTTGGTGAAAGGATTAAATAAAAGGCTTAGAATATTGTTTCCTACATAATAGACATGAGAAGTCTTTGCTTATGTAATTTTAAAAGTATGAGATATAGCTCAACACAGAGCTGTGAGGAAGGAGTTATACCTAGGCCATACAAAAGGAAGGCTTGGGATAGCTACTCTTAATGAGTGATACAGAGTGTAAGCCTGGAATGGTCACTCTTGATAGGTGATGGTGACCTATAAGGAGAAGGAGCAGCCATTTGGCTTACAGGCACCAAACTTGATTGAATTAGATATCACCTCTGCCACCTTACTTCCAACTCTTGCTTTTCTAAAGGCAGCCCTTTTCAGGCTTGCATGAAAGAAGCCTACAACCCTCTCCAGCGCTCTGTTTATCTCAGACGACTTCTTTCCTTTGTTACCTGGCCTTTGGGAATGTGAGACAGCAAGTGTAGAAAACTAAAGAGATGCACGATACAGGCGGGTATTGCTATATAGTCTTAGAGGTTTAGAAGCATCCATTCTCCAGGTAAATTGACTTTTGATTCATGTGACTTCATGCATATGCCCCAGCAGATAGAAAGAGGTCAAGGAGCTGCCAGTTTTTCATATGTTCATTTACCAGTGTAAGCACTTCCGTGGTAGTATGGGGCTGGTGGAACCTAGCATTTGATGGAGTACAGAAATAGCAATAATGAAACTCTGATATAGAGTGTTCCAGGATTTATTTCATTAGATATCTGAAAGGTTGATGTATTCTGCAAATTACAGGCCATTACTAGATGCAGGAACTGTCAAGTAACTCTAAAACAGCAAACTTTTTGGTCAGTCTCTTGGAATTCATCAGAGATATGGATCTTCTGTAAGTCTAAGTTTCCATCACCCTAGGTTCCCTGGAGTTTCATTTAAGAGATTAGAAATTACTAGAATTGGGAAGGGTTCCAGATGGTCATAAAACTGCCACTGGAAGAGTTGTAATTCTTTTTTCTTTTTATAAAGAGTACTAGGTCGCTGATGGGGTAGTAGAAGATCTGCCAGAAATTCACATAATAATGGTTGTAGAGGTAACTGCTAACAAAATCTTCAAAGCTGCCTCAGAGGATGGTAGTAATTTGGCTTTGTAACTCCAGAAAAGACCAGGAACCAAAGAGCAGTGTGAAGCTGAGGTTTTTCTGGGAAACATTATTCTTGACTAGAACATTTGCATAACGCCATGTGTGAATACTCATGTGTATCTCAAAAGTTATTAATTCTCCAATCACATCATGAGGTGCATCTATGTTGGGGCTGACTTAAGCCACATGAATTGGCCAGACCAGGGTACATAGAGTTGTCCAAAATCCAAAGGTTCCGAGTCTATCAGGACGTTAGAGATAGTAATAAGGATTTTACCAGTGTTCAACACATGGTGACTCACTATGGAATGAGGCTTGGTGGCTGAGTCAGTGTCCAGAGCAGAATGTTGTCTAGTTATCCCTTTCCTAGCAGGCAGTTCTGGAGTTTTTGCTAAGTAAGCTGAGTAAATGCACAGTTAGAGACCCAGGTAGTGAGGGTTGCAGGGAGAGTTCAACTCTGAGGACCTTACACAGAATTCTGCTATCAAGAAATATACAAATAATACAAGTCACAGAATTTGGGCAAAATTATTCAGTTTATTTTGCTTTCTTTTTTATATTTTTAATTTTATTTTTAAAGGTAAAAGAGCCAAAACATATTAACAAACACACAGACATAAACAAAACAACGTAAAAACAATATAGAATTTCAGACAAGGTGATAAGAAATTAACAATGGTTGTTGTATTGCATACTGTTATCTTCATATTGGTTACTCAGATAAATAAATGTAGATATGTAAGAATGATCAAACAATTAAATGTCAATTGTTCCTTTCAAAAAAGCAATAGAAATTAATAGTACAATTATCACAGCTTTCTTGTGTGTGTATACATATGTACATATGTATATATGTGTGTATATATATGTATGCACACACACACACACACACACACACATTTTTCCCTTATTTTCTCCTTTCCCTCAACCCAGTCGTTCTTTCCTCTTGAGCAGCTTCTTGCCTCTTCATACTATTTATTATACTTTTTAGATTTTATTAACTTTTTCAGGTTCTTACACTAGGGAGACAATAAAATGTTAACACATGTGAGTCTTATTTATGTCATTATGAGTATGGTCTGTAGTGGCATCTGTTTACCTATAAAAGCTTTGAATTTATCTTTCTTTATAGCTGAATAATATTCCATTATATAAAGGTACCATAGCTTTTTTATACATTCCTCAGTTGATGGGAATTTGGGTTATTTACATGATTTAGCTATTATAAATTGTGCTGCTATAAACATGGGGGCACATATATCACTCAGGTATGATGTTTTTAGTTCTTCTGGAAAAATACCAAGAAGGGGAATAGCTGAGTTGAAAGGCACCTCTAGACCTAGTTTACTGAGGAATCTCCAGACTGATTTCCACAGTAGTTGCACCAGTCTACACTCTCACCAACAGTAGAGAAGGGTTCCATTTTTCCCCCAGCCCCTCCAGAATTTGTTGTTGATTGAGTTCTTAATGATACTATTTTTTTCTGGAGTGAGATGGAATCTCAGTGTTGTTTTAATTGGCATTTCTCGAATGACCAATAATGTTGAACATTTTTTCATGTATTTATCTGTCATTTGTATTTCTTTGCAGAGAACTGTGTATGCATCTCAGATGCCCATTTTTGGATTGGGTCTTTGAATTTGGGGAGCCTGATTTTCCTAATTCATTATATGTTCTAGATAAAAGTCCTTTATCCAAGGGACATATGGCTAAGATAGTTTCCCAATTTGTGCGTTTTATTTTTACTCTGCTGGTGATTTCTTTACTTTTCTTTCTTTTTTTTTTTTTAAGGAATAAAAGGAGGAAAATACTAACAGACAGACAACA